ACCTTCCTTTGGGCCGACCAATATTCCCATGAATAATACATGCATAAACACTTTTTGACATTCTAAGTTAGTCAATTTTCACAAGAGAGGTTGATTTGGCAACATGTTGCTTCAATTAACTAACTTTCGAATATTATATCTCTTAAAAGAGTCTTTAGTACCAAAATTTGAGAAAGAGAATCACCAATTTTGCATATTTTGATTAGTTTTAAACTTTAGGGGCCTTAGGATTAATAATTCAAAACTTTAAGGGGGAAAATTAATTAATTCCAAACTTTAGGGGTTGAAATTAATAAACTTGAAACTTTATGGACCATAATAAATTAATTCAATACTTTAGAGGATCAATTAGAACAAATTTTAAAACTTTAGGGGCCAAAATTGACCAATTCAAAACTTTAGGGATCAAATTTTAAAATTTTGAAACTTTAGGGGTCAATTTGAATTAATTATGAACTTTGGAGGCCAATTTGAATTAATAATTAAATTTTGAGGGCTTTAATGATAAATTCAGAACTTTAATGGCCCGAATTATAATTTTAAAACCTTAGGGACTGAATTATTAAATCCGAAACTTAAAGGCCCAAAACTTATTATAACTTAAAGGTTAGGGACTGAAACCTTAATTTTATAACCCTAACCCTAATTGCAACTAAGGACCTCAAATCATCTAATTTATAGAAGAGGCCCCCGCCCCCAAAAATCCAGAAAATTGAAACCTAACAAAAAAAATTTTCTTCTTCCCTCTTGGCGACGCCCCCGAAGCAATAGCCCAGGCGCTGCTGCGTGCTGCCCAGCAGCTCACACAACAGCGAAGCTGCTGGCTGGCTGCCGGCGGCTCGCCCCAAATTTTTTTTTTTAACACGTATAGAAATCTGAATCCAAAAAAAAATTCGAATTCCAAATCTAAATTTTTTCAACCATTAATTCGAATTTCGAAAATAATAAGAATTATACAGCAAAAAATTTTCAAATTTAACAAAATATATAACCAAAAATTGTTAAATCTGAAAATTTCAAAATATATTGCAAAAACCAAACTAAAATTCTTTTTTTTTTTATTCTCAATGATTCAACATGAAGAGACTCTGATATCACTTGTTGGATAATATAATGCTTTAAATTATCGGATCTTTCATGTTAAATCATCAAGAAATACAAGAATTAAAGCGGAAGCATACCTGAATCAGACATGATTAATGCAATATGAATTTCGCGGTATAGTCTTCCAAATCTACACGCAGTCTCCTTTTCCTCTCTGTGATGGGATGCAGTAGAGAATGAATAATACTTGTGCGTGATCTGGGGACCATAACCTATTTATATAGAGACGACCTTTGACCTAATTCGACCAATCATAGAATTAGGACTTGAGCTCGATCTCTACACATATGTAAATCCATACTTTAATTGGATACATTAAAGTCCGAAATTGAAGTCTTATCAGATCACTTTAATTGGGCTCAACCGAATTCGATAGCCTATAATTTAACGCACAATTATTCACACATACAAGCCCATCTTTAATTAAAAATCCTTAGAATACAAACTCGAAAAACAACCTTAGGTGTAATTTTCACAATATCAATCTATAAAAATATCTGTAAATGATTATGTACAATAAGTATATTCATTTTTTGCCCCCAGCTAAGCCCTTGGCCGATTGTACTCATCTAGAGACAAGTTGGGTCCGATTAGAGCCCAAAAAATTTCGTGAATTGAACTTAGCTCGCAAGCAGCTAGGGGACTTTGCCCAGGAGCCTGGGTGATTGTTGGCCAACAGTCAGAATTTTATTTATTTATTTTAAAATCTATAATTTAATATTTTTTACGTCCAGTTTTTGAATATCTATATTATACATCTACCAAATTGTTTTTTTTTTTTTAATTGTGTAATTCAATCTACGTACCATATTTTATATATATTCTTTCTATTTTTTTATTCAAATTTTATTCAAATTTCAAGTGGACCATTGTATTATTTGGAGAATAATGAGTTAAAAGAAATGTTTGGTGTCGGTTCCAACACACCATGAGGTATAACCCCGCTTCATCTCTACTATTTAATAACAATGTTAGTGGTTTTAATGATATTCCAAGTCCGCAACAAAAATGTACATGAAAGTACTGATCCATTAAACTTGGATGAAAATGAAGAAGAAGAAATGCATATAGCAGGCTCAATGGTAAATGAAGAACGAACAAACAAAGTGTTTTAAGTGTTCGGAAACACTTCAAATTGGTGCTCAAGGGTCATGTAGATGGAAAGTCAGATTTCAAAGCAGTATGTCAGTACTGCAAAGAAATATTAGCTTAAAAAAGAGTATCTAAATGACATTAAAAGAAATATCGATTAATATACAAAACTTTAGATCCTATAGAGACTCAAATCAAAATTTTGTTCTCTTGTTTCTAGTTCATTTACTACCTGAATCTACTCAACTGAGACAACGCTGAGGTGATTGCTAATTTTGTAACAAGTGGTGGGCATCTGCTTAAAATAGTGGATAATCCACAGTTCATCAAGTTCATACAACAAAATCTTCAGCTCAGGCACAAACCAATTATTATAACCGCTCTTCATCCAGATTCTATATTGATTATTATCATATAAAAATGAATTTGTTAAGAAGAGATCTAAGTAAATATGGCAACGTTATAAATTTTATCTTTGTCTTGTAGAAGGGTATTAACAAAAAAAGGTTGCATAACTGCTAATGGTTACTATAGATAAACTATGAATAATCTATAAAAGAATTATTGTTTTTAAAATTAATTGAATTTTCTCGTGATGCTAATAATATTTTTAATGTTTTAATGGATATTATTAAAGAAATGAGAATAAAATGATTATTTTTACGTTTACAAATAAAGAATTAATTGAGAAATTAGCTCGAAATATTAATCCCAATTTTGGTGATATTTCTTTTCATATTTGTTGTGTTTGTTATATTTTTAATTCAATTATGCAAGATGTATTAAAATTAATTCAAAATAAGTTTGACAAAATTACGAACTCTCTAATCTTTATTACGATGTCATCTAGTAGTAAACAAGATTTTGAATATTTTGTAAAGAACACTAAATGGAGGGTCATAAATAAAACTCTACTTATCTTTTGCTAAAATCTTGTAAAGGACACGAAACTCTTATTACTAATTTTTACAACTCCAGTCTCGCACAGGACTTAGAAAAAATTTATCAGATTATGATTGGAAATTTTGCATTTAAAATTGAGAATATCCTTTTGAAAGGTGTTTCTTTTTTTTTTTTTTTTTTTTTTTTTTTTCCCCCCTAATTTTTTTTTGGGGTTTTTTTTTTTTTTTTTTTTTTTTTTTTTTTTTACACCACTAATGAGTTGTCAGGTGTATATCTTACTATTCCTAAAGTTCTAGCTCTCTTTTGCCATATTGCAACAAATTTCAAATAGTATGGAACATATCCTTTTTAGTGATATATTAGTTGCGAAAAAAAAATTAAGTTGAAAAAATATTGAAAAGATTTACGTATGTCATCTCCTCTAACATATGTAACGGACCCTAGGTATAACTTAGAGGGCACAAAACTTGTTATACTCCGAATAAAAAATGCATTAAATTTTAGAAATCAAAAACAACATATTAAAGAGCTTAATGTGTATAAAGGAATGGGAAGACACAGAATTTCGACTCCAAGATAAATATGCCTAAATTCTATTTGATGAAGTCAATGATATTTGAGAGCACCATAATTTGTCATTCTTTAATATTATTCACTTTTTATTTAAAAAAAATTGTACATGTAATAAATTATTCATGTACAATTTTAACATTACCTACACTAAAAATAGTCAGTCACAATTTCAAAACTATTTTAAAATAATTGAAATTAATGTGTACTTGTGTCTTCCATGAGCTTAGGGCTAAACCAAGCCGAACAGCTCTTATGGGCGGGAGCCAAACTCGATCTCGGCTAGTGCTGGATCGTTTCATGGACCAGTCGAGCTCATGATTATAAAAATAGAGCGGACTTACCTGAAAATAGGGGTTGTTTTGTAATTTTCAAATTGGAGCATTGGTCTTTTTAACAACTTATAATAGTAAATTTGTAAATATATTCATCTTTCTAGCAAAGTATGTTTCTTGTTTATCAAACAGTAAATTTGTAAAATATGGTAGCTGAATTGTGTTGACGTAAAAAATTGTACGAATAAATTTTTGGCCAACTGTAAGATAAATGGTGTTTTTATTGATAATAATTCCCAAATACAAGTGTTTAATCGCTCCACAAGTAAAAAAAGTAAAAATGAAAGTGTTAGTCTTGAAGTTGTAAGGTAAACCAAGGTCTGCCTTTAGGGAAAAATGTTCGTCTTTATTTATAGGGACAAAGGATTTCTTATTGATAGACTCATGTCTTATCAATCAAATCAGCTACAGTGTCGAGCTTGGAAAGTGTGCCAATGATCTTATCTTTGATTGGTTGATGAGATTGGCTTTCACAAATCATCATGATGTCGACCCGATTCATTGCTAGAGAGTGATGAGTCGATTATGGATAAGAAGTCATGGCAACATATTGGTGGAAAAGAGAGGTGGTGACGTCATTTCTTCTTTGTGTTGCTCATTGATTGGAGGACTAGATGGTTCAACAATGTGGTAATGAATCTATAATCATTATGTTTCCTAAAATTACGCTAGTCATTGATTCGAGCTGACATTGGTGATTGGATTTGGATTTTTACACAAGCTAGGGACGTATAAAATATACATGTTTTAATTTAGGTTGGATTTCAAAGCCCAACAGTTACCCCAAGGTCTGTGCCCACCTTGGTGTTGGACTAACCTTAAATATGGTTGGCTTGTTTTCCCATATTTGCCATTATTACAACAATAAAAATGGTGGACAAGTGTCATTGTTTGATTAGGTGAGCTATTCATCACTTTTTTAGCTTTTCTTAGAAGTTTGATATCAAAACTACATAGTTTTAACTTATCAAATCTAGGCCTTTTGTTTTTCGTCATTTTCTTCATCCAATGACCCTGAATCCGTCTCTTGGTTATCTCCCTTTTAAATCTTCTTTTCTCTTTTCATTTTCACACTTTTGCTCTCAAGTTTTTTTCTCTCAAAGAAGTAAAATTTTACTCGTGTCCTCGTCTTCTTTATGAGGAAGTTAGTCCATCCCCCAAGTATTCCCCTCACTAGGAAATGCCTTTCTTTTTCTTACATTTTTCACCTTAACCATTGCATAAGTTCGGACGAGTCTAGAACACATTTATGGGATAACCAACAGGAAGAGTCAATACATTCTACTTCCATCCATTCTGCTAGTTCAGACTTTCAGGAGATCTTAACTCCAGTCTCAATCTCTATAGTCAATCTGGAAGATATAGGTTGTCTTAGAATCATGGAAAAAAAATCCTGAGGGTGTTGAGAGTTCTGGGGAGGAATGAAAAGTTGGATCTTATGATGGTGATGAGGAAAATTGTTTGAGGAGTGGAGGGCCAATTTTTATAGGTTAGAAGTGACGGGGATCTGCTGGCGAACTAGAGGGCTAAGTATAGTAGCTCAATAGAAATGGCAATTTCCAACCCTCTAACTGAGCTAGTGATCTTCCAGTGGGATGTGTAGCTCTAAACTCTGCCATCCTGAATGCCTGTCTCAAACTCCCTTTTCCTATGGTCATTCATAGGTTTCTTTCTTTCTGGGGAATAGCTCCAACTCAACTATGCCCTAATAGGTACTGAACACTGGTAGCCACTCTAATTCTGTTGTATAAGTTAGGAAACCCTGAGCTGAGCGTGGAGTAATTTAACTCTTTATTTACGTTCAAAGAGGAGGAAAAGAATACTGGTTGATGGTATGCCAGTGTTAGATCTAGAATTGGGGATCCACTAGTGTTAGATACTCCTTCCTCAATAAAGCAATGAAATTATGAGTTCTTTTTTGTAATAGGTAAATGTCAATTTCACCCTACCTATTATCATTTATTATGTAAGTGAATATCTTCTTCGTATTCTGCTGAACTAAGTTGTAAGTATATCCTCAACTCTTTCGTTGTGATTGCAGACTACAAGAAGGCTACTTTGAGTTCGACTATCAAGGAGCAAACTGATGAAATCAGAGCTTTTCCTAAAAAACAGAGGTCCTACAAATTCATTATCTCTTATTTCAATCTCTTTCAAGCGAGGTTATTTCGATCTCAACCTCCGACCTCAATGGTAACTGAGGCTTCTACTTCTATTCCAACTACGTTAAGTAAGGATCGACTTATCTTTTAAATGTTACAATGAGTTTGTAGTTTAGATTCTAACTCTTTTTCTCTTTTTTTAGATTAGGACAAATAAATGCTAGGATATAAGGTAGCAAAGGTGATGGCTACAGATAATAAGGGAAAGAAGAGACCCCTACTGAAGTAGTAGGATAAATAGAAGAGGTTATAGTTGAGCAAGGAGATGGACTTTCAATGCATGGCCGTTCTGAAGAGCCACCAACAAGGTCAACTTCTATGGCCTTTTTTCTAGAACAATCCTCTCCCACAATACCACTCCAGATGTTGACATCACTCTTACTCCTCTTTTCGTCACTGTCGAGACCAACTCCTCGAGGTCATAGGAACGGTGCCCAGATCTGCAGAAGCCTAGCATTGATTGCTTGGTGGGTCGCCGACCTAGGATATTCATGGACTTTCTTAGGGCTCCATTTCTATCCAAGGAACCGATGGCTACACTATCTCTCCCCTTAGAGAATCTACCAACCTCCTCCTCACTAATAGTTAGAATGGGAAGAAGCAGAAATTTATTTCTAAGATATCAATGGATGAGGTCGTGATTACTATCGAGCTCCACAGCCACAGATCCATTCTATTTATGATGTCTATAGCAGATGGGGTGCGTACTCGAGCTCGTGTACTTAGAAACTTTTGGAAGTCAATAATCAAGCCTTAAGCCTTTTCAAAAACATGGAGGCTGAGAAGACAAGATTTGCTAAGAAAAAAAGGAACACGAAGATCGCCTTAACAAGATGGGGGTCTAGCTTGAGGTAAAGCCAACATCAGAATTAGGCTTCATCGATGAAATTAGGACCTTGAAAATTTAGGGAAAAAAGGCTAACGAGAGGGCCTTTACTGAGAAAATGAGGGTTGAAGAGGAAAAAGCTAAAGTTGACGAGGCTATGAAGAGGGCTGAAGAAGCCACCATGAAGGCAAAAGAGGCTGAGGCTAAAGCAGTCGAGGCAATGAAATTTTGGAGGGCCTCTCCTGAGTTTGGTGCTCTAACTCAGAATCCTATCTAATAGCCTTGCAAGAGCTTGTGAAACACATTGGTAACGAGAGGCTGGTTCTGATACTGCCTTCTTAGTAGAATCCTTAGAAGAGCAGAAGGAAGAGCTGGAGAAAATGTCCGAGGCAAGTGAAGTTCGCATATCTTCTGTGGATTAAGATATATAGGATGATGTCATTTCTCAATAAGATCCCAAGTCGCTTAGCTCCCCTTATTTAATGTTACTGCTAAACATTGTTCATTATTTTGATGTGCTCATAATCAACCTTTTGCTAGTAAATTGATATTTTATTATTATCGAGTGTCAGTTCATTTTTTGCTCAAATTGACAATGTTTTGATCCCCTTAATGGAAAATAGTCTAAATATTGCAGCACATGTAACCTTATGTCAACTTGCTTAGAAGTAAGGCTTTTGTAATTTCCTTAATTGAAAATTTATCAATGTGTTGCAGCACATACAACCTTAGGTCTAATTGCTTAGAAGCAATGCTTTTGTAATTTCCAAAAGTAGAAATTTATGTAAGTGTTGCAGCACATGCAACCTTAGGTCAACTTGTTTTGGAGCAAGGCTTTTTGTAATTTTCATGAGCACTTGAGAGTGCAATATTGAACATGCTTTTCTATTATGGGATAGTTTTACATTGTACATTCTATTTTTATTTATAGTACTTCTTAAGATGCTAGACATTCCAAGAGTGTGGCAGAGGTCTTCCTTTCGTGTCTTCTATAGACTCCTTCCAGATAGGCTCTAGAGATTCAAAATTGGCTTCCCTTGTGGCGAGAAAGCACTTTCTCAACACGAGAGAGCCGACCTCAAATTCCTGTTTTCTAACCCTTTGATTGTAGTACTTTGCACTACGTTGCTTATATATAGCATTCCTAAGTTCGGTTTCATTTCTCTTTTTGTTGATCAATTCTAATTCCACACGAAGGGCTATTTCGTTTTTAGCCTCATCATATGTTTTAGTTCAAAAAGAATGAGTTTCTATCTCCAATGGGATGACCACTTCTACCCCAAGAGCTAGAGATAAAGCATTTCTTTAGTACTAGTCCTAGAAGTGGCACGGTAAGACTATAGCACACTAGGGAGTTTATCAGCCCATCTAAGAGCTTCAAGTTTCACCTTTAACGTATGTTTGATGATCTCATTGATTGCCTCAACTCGATCATTAGCTTGTGGATGGTTTGGCATGGAAAAGTGTTTTCTAATGCCAAGTTCTTCACATAATCTTAGGAGACGGGCATTGTCTAATTGCTTCCAGTTGTTGGTCATGATACACAATGGTTTTTCATATGAAATCTTCATAGTGGAATGTTGTCGACCTCTTCTATTCCTTCCCTTGTACTAGACTAGCTAAGGTATCGACATCACTGTTTTGAGCTGAGAGAATTTGTACGACGTGTGGCTTGGAAATTCTCAAAATTTTTTTGATAACTTGGAGATAGTTGCTCATGTTTTCTTCCTTTACCTGGTAAGTTTCATTGGTTTGGTTGACCATAAGCTGTGGGTTACTATGAACTAATAATCTGGGGATTATTAGCTCTTTACCCATCTTTATTCCAACGATCGGAGCCTCATATTCAGCTTTGATGTTTGAAGCCTTGAGAGTCCTCTTTTGAAAATCCAAAACATTCTAGATGAGGGAGGACATCAGTATTGAACTTAGGTTGTCTTATCTCATAGTTCTACCATACTTATGCATCCCATGCTTGCCTGGGTTTTTCCCTCTTAGAACCTTCGGTGCATTGGTTGCCACTTATCATCATTCTGATTTTAGTTCGAGGAAAGGCATTCTAATCTGGTTGAGCTGGCCGTGCTGCTGCTAGCCCTCTTCTTGTTGATAAGGTTGTTGGGGATAAGTTTGACTTGCTTCTCTAAGTTTAGCTACAAATTCTTGAAGATGACCTCACGAGATAGAGGATTCGACTTTTTCTTTCAAATCCCTACAGTCATCTGTATCATGGCCTATCGACCTGTGATATTGGCAGTACTTATTCTATTTGTTCCCAATCAAACATTTCTGAGGTGGAGTTCTTTGGAATGATTTTTTATTTCTTGCTACATGAAGATCTCCTCCAAGGTAGTGTTTAGTGGGTGGTACTCATAAAACATCTCTGAGTGAGGTTTAGGTCGGTCTCTATCCCTCTTATCCTTTTTTTTTTTTTTTTTGTAAATGGGCTCTTTGTCTGATTTTTTCTCTTTCTTTTAGCCTGAAATGCGAGGTTCTGCCTTGGTATATGAGGTTGCCTCCTCTGTACTTATATGATTCTCAGTTCAGTGACGAATTCATGATATGTCTGAGGTTTGTCCTCATATACAAACCACCAAAACTTTGATCTGGGCCTTAGCCCAGAGAGGACTACCATGAGGGCAGCATCATCGAAGATTCTCACCACCTCCATGGATTGTTTATTGAATTCGTTGAGGCAACTTTTGAATGAATCACTTTTCGCTTGTTTAATGCTAACTAGACATTCTTTGGGCATTATTCTAGCTTTGGAGCCCATAAACTGACCTAGGAATGCCATAGCAAGGTCAATCCAACTTTTTATAGATCTTTGATGCAACCTCTTCAACCACTTTTAAGTTTTGACCCCCAGCTTTAATGGAAAAGCTCGACACATGATAGCATCATTTGCTCCTTGCAATTCCATCTATGAAATATATTTTTCTAGGTAGCTAAAGAGATTTCCTTCCCCTTCATACCCAATGAGTTGTGGCATCTTCAATTTTTCAGATGAGGGTTCGACGAGAATGTCTTCTCTGAAAGAGGATTGGGGTTTAGTAAGGTATTCATCGATAGTCCCTTTGTTTTTGGCTTCATCAGCAATACGTTTTTATAAGGTGCTCATTTCATGTTCCACTAGTTCTAATGGGCATTTTAGAGTGGGCTTAGTACGTTTGCCTTGGAGTGTTAATTAACTCTACAACCTTAATCTGTTAAATACATTTCCAATTTGTCTGGTGGCTTACGCCATTAATGAAAAAAGGTCCTTTTACCTCATCAATTCGACTTTTCAATGATTCTTCTCTTGAAAAGTGAAGAGTCCTTCTAGTGGGAAGTCGTCCAGTTCTTTCTCTAGTCGACGATCTACCTCGATTTCGTGTAGTGGTAGGGTAGATGCCTAGTTTTGTTCTAACTTGTTGACTGTGTTTGTCAAACATTTAATGGTTCCCTTATGGAAACAAGTTGAGGCTTGTCGACCTTAGTTTGGTCTTGTTTCCTCGAAAAGTCTGGTGGGACGTTAGTTTCATTGATATGGGTATGGGATTGGCTCTGGAATTAGAAATGTGATTCATGATGATGTTTGACTTTGGATTGATTTCATGTGGAATTTTGTTGAAAAATGAGGGTTGCTTTACACAATAAGGCCATCCTTCTAGCTCCAAAATGCTAACGCCAAAAACTGTAAGGATAATTTTTTAGCCAACTTTAAGATAAAAGATGTTTCTATTTATAACAATTCCCAAATACAAGTGCTTAATCAATCCACAAGGAAGAGAAGTGAAAATGAAAATGTTTATCTTGGATTGTAAAGTAAGCCAAGCTTTGCCTTCAAGGAGAAATGTCCATCTCTATTTATAGGGAGAAAGGGTTTCTTATTGATAGATTCATGTCTTGTCGATCAAATCAAATACATTGTTAAGCTTGGAAGGCGTGCCAATGATCTTATCTTTGATTGGTTGATGAGGTTGGTTTTTATCAGATAATCATGATGTTGACCCGATTGCATTGCCAGAAAATGATGAATTGATTATGTATAAGAAGCTATGGTAACGGATTGGTGGAAAATGGGAGGTGCTGGCGTCAATTTTCCCGGTGTTGCTCATTGATTGGAGGACAAGCTGGTTCAACAGTGCGGTAAGAAATCTATAATCACTCTCTCTTAGAATTAAGGCAATCATTGGTTCGAGCCGACCTTGATTATCCGATCTGGATTTTTACACAAGCTAGGTACTCATAAAATATACATGTTTTAATTTAGGTTGAAATTCGAAGCCCAACAAATTGGAATAAACCTTAATGCAGAATGAGTTCTTTAAATTTTCCATTTTTATTGATCAATATTGAAATAGAGAAAATTACATGGAGATGTCACTTTAGATGTGGAAATTGAAATGTGTTGACCAACTTTTGGTTTTTTTTTTTAAATATTACAATAGAGAAAATTGCATAGAGACGTCATTTTTAGATTGGCAAAGTGATATGTCCGGACTATTTTTTTTTTAAGTTCACATTTTCAATTCAATTCCACTATTTTACATTTTTCTTTAAATAAGTTCATTTTTCAATTCAATTCTTCAGAAGTTACTATTTTTTTTAAAAAATAAATTCTCTCTTCTCCTTTTAGACAATCTAAACATTCTCGACGAACCATGTAGAGTTGATGAAGTTTCTACTACAGTTAGACAACACAATCTTGACCCATAATTTGTTAATATACTATCACTCTTAATAATGAGAAATTGTAGTTTTGAATGGCACATATAATTAATTGAATCACAAGACTTTGGTGACATGGCATCAAGAAATAACAACTTTTTTTTTTTTCTTTTTTTGGTAATATTTATTTGATGAAAAATACTAAAATCCATTGTGAAATCGTGAATTAGAGGACCAATTAAGGTGTTTTGAATGTGAAAAAAAAAAAAAAAAAAATTGTGGTTTTAAAAAAAAAAAAAAAAAAAAAAAAAAAAATAATAATAATAATAATAATAATAATAATAATAATGATAACAATAAAAAAAGAGCATTAATAAACTTCTCCATCTGAATTCAAATTAATACATGCATGGACATACAAGTGAATTAAAGTGAATTAATTATGTATGACATTTGTATATTCTTGTCTTTTAAATCTTTTAAATTATAATTTTTCATCAAAGGTTGGCGTAAGGATGGCAATTCGAATTGCCAAAACTGAAAATCATGGTTAATAGAATTGAATGGGGCGAAAAAATCGAATAGATGGTGCAATGGGATGTATATGATATTTGATTTTAGTGACCTGGTTCAAGGCAGGGCGGGTATGGTATTTGCGCCATCGTCCCATCTCGAATCGATTACCCGTTAAAAAAAGGGCAATTGGGCTTTTCCATTATTTTTTTATTGTAATTTGTCTAGCCCAAAATTTATGGCTCATTACTAACTTATTAAGTAACCTAACACAGTTACCTCTTACCCACTTAGTACTAACCCTACCATAAAGAAAATTGGAATCAAATTCTACAAGACATTAGTCGACAGCTGTCTTCCCTCGAGTCTCTGTAGTGCGTTCCAAAATTTTATTTCTTCTCCACACTGTATTCTTTCTTGCTCGCCATCGCCATCCCCAAATAGGAGGATATTTTTCTTCTTCTCGTTTGCTAATTCCTTTTGTTGTAATCTGTATCTATTTTTGTTTTTGTCGAGTATGAGTATTTGATGAAATATGATTTTTTCTTCTCCACAT